TAAGGAAATTAATATAATTCACTCTAAATTATGTTGTTTAGATAGGTTATTTTAAAAAGAAATTTAAATTCTCATATTTTATGGAGCATTTCAATGAACTAAAATCAATAAAATTTAAAATTTCATCAAAAAGAGAGGAATTTGACTCATGCTAAATCAAGTAGGTTTGTGCACTTGTGATTGGCTTGATTAACTCTCTTGAACTTAGTGACTGTTTTGTGATTCTTAATTACTCTTTCTCAACTCTTGTTCTCTCGCACTCACGATCTTGATATCTCTCTTGTTAGTAATAGTTGTTGTCTAACTCACAATCCTTACTCCTCTACTTAGGTTTGTCTTTCTTCTCTTTCAATTTTAGGATTCTATTTGATTTCTTATTGAAGTCTTTATTAATCTAAGATTTCGTTTTCAATTTCATGTTTGATTTCATGTATATTGATTCATTTGTTTCATGTGTGCACAAGGTTGACCAATCTCTTTGTCTCAAGTAATTTTCAATTAGTTTTTTTTCTCTCCACTAGTTTGTAAGTATGTGTTTAGTATTGATTTTTTAAAGCAATTTCTTCTTCTCTCTCCACGTTCAAATGTCTGATTTACGTAGAAACTAGTATTTATCACTTCAAATTAGACGTGAAAAATCACGTCAAGACGTAAATGCAAACACACACTAAGTTTGCTTATTGATTAATTTCTTTTAGTTGTTTGTTTGATGTGATTTTGATTCATTTTTGCTTGTTGTACTAATTTTATCATGTTGTGACTATGTGTCAATATATGTTTTAATTTAAAAATTATTTCTAATATTTGTAATTTATTATTAAGGAATCGTAGATAGTGTAATGATCCTTAGAAATTTAAGGTTTATGATTTAGGATTTAGGATTTACCTTCTCATGTCTTTTAAAAACTCATGTATATTTATCAATAATGCATTCATTCTTCATGGATTAAATATTATTTGGAGTAGAGAATTTCGATTAAATATTATTTGGAGTAGAGAATTTCGAAAAATAGTGATTTATTTATATTCTATTCCTACTATTGATTTGGTAAACAATTATATATATTCTCCTACAATCACTTCAAATCGTGAATGAATCAATATATTAATTATTTTGCAAATGTAAATGGTGTTTTGAAGATTTTAAATATGTTGTGAATTCAAAATATTCTGTAAATTTATAAAGAAAAATTAATTAAATATAATGTCTAATATTAATAAAAAAAATTATAATATTAAAAATAATTACCAATTATTAAATTTTTTTAATAAAATTTAATATTAAACTTTAATTTTTGAATAAATATTTAAAAATAAAATTTTGCTAAGTAAAAAATTGAAATACTCTATCAATTGAAATACAAAACATTAAAAAATCATCTATCCAAATAAAATATTTAAAAAGAAAGAAAATTTAATAAAAAATAATTCAAATACTAAAAATTTGAAATTCCTAAATTTTTAAAATGCCTCATCCAAACTCTTTCTCTTTTATTTTTATCCATCTTATTTTTCACTCTTATTGTTTTTTTTTATAAATTTTATTTCACTCTAATTCAAACAAAATATTAGGGACATTCTTATTGTCTAACATATAAAAATATCTCGTCCTTTGATGTTTGAAGTGAGGTTATATAATTGGCTCTTGTTCATCTTAGCTGTAATGACAATGCTATGCGACCTAAAATAAAGTCCAACCATTACAAAATGCCAACATTAATATAAGGAGGAGACAAATTGACAATCAACAAATACTTTTTTTTCTTCACATCAATCAAGAAATAGTTTTAAAAAATCATTAGTTGAGTTGAGATAACTAATAACCATTTCTATTCATTAATCTCTTGTTTTGTTGAGTAGAAAATACTCACTCTAGGGTACTGTTATTTCTTCAGAAAGTAATAGTCAAAATATTTTAACATTACACTAATTTTAACATTAAAATAGTATATTGTGTGTGTGAGTGGAATTGAAATTAAAAAATGAAATTCAAAACTGAACTACACTTATCAGTCTTAAAAATAAAAAAGCCAATTTAAACTTAAAGAATATTTTGAATCGGGTTTTTTGTTTTAACCCCTATTTGGTATTTCTGTTGTGATTCAATGCATGTGTGCTGGATGATGCAGACATCTAATATTTAAATTTAACATTGTTATATATATAACATTATTTCAGTAAACAGTCCGATGTTAAGTGGTGCTATTATATTTTTTTAGTCTAATAAATAAATAATTTTGCCTCTATGCATTCGGTAATATTATTATATTCATTTATTTCCTTTAATGAGTAGTTTTCATAGTACTTTTAAATAATAAAGGCATCACATTATTATGATTGATTTAATAATAAAAGTTGGGATAAATTATGTTATAAAATTATTGAATAAAAAAACTATAAAATTTGAATCCGAAATGTAATTTCATATCCAAATTTTGAATTCGTTGCGCCAATTGAAGCAAAGTTATTTAAACAAGAAGTGCACATAATATGTAAAGTAATAAAAAGAATATTTTAATTCGTTATTAATGTATTTTTTTACATTATCTGCTAATTAAATAACATAATCATATTAATAGTAATAATATTATTTATACTACCAAGTTTTTCAACGCATGCCATCTGAACCTGAAAGAAATGTTTTCTTTTTTCTTTTAAATGAAAGATGATCAATTTTATATTAAGATTAACTCAAATTTAATCTTTCATTATTTTTTTTTGTCAAACATTATTTTAACATTTACAAATTAATTATGAAAGTATCATTTCAAGTTTGATATCTCAAAATAAGTTTTATAGCTAATATGTCAAAAAAAAAATAGTTTGACTTTTCTCTTAATAAGGATTGCTCACATTAAAAGATGGAAATAATTATTTAATGCATTAATGACTTATTTTAAAACATAATCATGTTTAAGGCCTATTAAAAAAGGACTTCAATATTTTATAAATTAATTTGTTAGCACCTACACATGATAAAGAACCAATGTTTATTATTAGTATTTTAATTTATACAATAATAATGGTAGTAATAATGATAGTTATATTATCATTATTGTTGGTATCATTACTGTCATCATCACCATTGATATTGTCATTATTGATGTTATTGTTGTACTACTACCTGTTGACAACAATGACAATGATAATAATGGTGGTAGTGATGACGACAATAATAATGATGATGATGGTGATGACATCGATAAGTAATGATAATGTTGATAATTGTACAAAGAATAATAACAATAATCTTATAAAAAAATTTATAATTGAGATTTAATCTGGTTAATGATTATTTTTATTTATAATCTAAAGATTATTATTTACTTCTCTCATAACTCTCATTAAATATGCTATATGTGTATATATATATATATATATATATATATATATATATATATATATATAGATAGAGAGAGAGAGAGAGAGAGAG